CACTTGAGCAGTGAACCATTCCTTCTCCGTGTGATTTCCCCTCTTGTCTATTCACCTGCCCCAGATCTCTGGATTTCCTCCATCTGAGAATATGGCTTTCAGTCTCCTGGGCTGGTTTTTCCTATTAATGTTGGGATTTGCTTAGGCTCAATTCTTGGGTATCTTCTTTTCTCCGTACTCGTTCCCTGTTGACCTCACTCAAGTCTCACTGGCTACGAGAAACGTCTGTAAGCTGATGGCTTTAACTGTGAACTTATTTCCTGAATTCCAGACTCTTGTATCCAACTGGACACTTCACCTCTCCCTGTGGGTGTCTTAGGGACACCTCAAAGTTATCATGTCCCAGTTGGACGTGGTGGTGCACACCTGGAATCCCGTGACACTGGAGGGTGAGGCAGGAGGATTGCAAGTTTGGGGCCAGCCTCAGCAACTTAGTGAGACCCTAAGCAATTTAGTGACACCCTGTCTCAATAGCAACAACAATAACAATAACAACAACAACACAAAAGGGTTGGGGATGTGACTCAGGGACCCTGGGTTCAATCTCTAGTACCAAAAAAAAAAAAAAAAAAAAAAAAAAAAAGAAAGAAAGAAAGAAAAAATCATGTCCCAAATAGTATCTGTTTCCCCTGACTGCTCTGCCCATGGTTGTTTGGTCTCTGTTGATGGCAACACCACCCTCTCAGCTGATGTCAACCTTGACTCTTCCTCTCACGCCCCATGAGCAATCTGCCAGGAAGTCCCTTGTACTGTACTTCTGAAATATAGCCACATAGTTGAATTTCTCACCACCCCTACTGCTTCCCCCTGGCTTTCAGTCACCATTGTTTCTCACTGAATTTATATTTTCCTAATGGGTTTGCCTGCTCACTTTCTGGCCCTAGCATAGATAGGTTTGTTCTCAGTTGTTCTAAATGTCCCTGCTAGAATGAGTTGGTTAGGATGTAAGCCAAATAATTATAGTAGCAGCCTCAAAATCCTTCAGCGATTCCCATTTTTACTGAGGATAAGAGTCAAAATCTTTGCAATGGCTTCCAAGGACTTTGGTCAGTTGGTCTTTGTTTTCTGTGACTCCACCTCCTATTACTCTAGGCCTCACTTCCTCTCTGGCTTCCTTGCTGGTCTGAYCTTGGACCTTGAATGGCAGCAGCATGCTTCAGCCCTAGAGTCTTTGAACTGGGTGTTCCCTCTGCCTAGAATATTTGTCCCCACTTCAATGCTCTTCTGTCCTTTCAATGATATCTATTTGACTAACCTGTGCGCCCCATCTCTCTGCTTAGCATTGCTTAATCACATTTCCACAGAGTAATGTCTTTCTAATGTAGATAAATTTCTTAAGTTTTTATTAACATTTGCCTCCCCCCCACACACACGGCTTCAACTCCAGCTCTGTCACTAGAACCTTGATACATAGCAAGTATCAATAAATATTTGTTGAATGAATAAAATCAGCAGAATCTTGCATCTTAACTTTGGGATCATGCTAATCCTCTGGGGATTGTGTAATTATCAATTACACAATGATGCTATGACAGAATTTTACATATATGGAATTCTTTACTTCCTAAAAATCTGGCTAATAAAAGTTGATTAATATTTATTAGATATTGGAGACCCACTATCCTCAGTCAGCCTGGATAGTGACAAAACATGGAAATGATCAAACTTAGGTTTTCAAACATAATAAAACCGTTTTGAGGAACCAAATTGTATTAGATGAGTCCAATTGTTCTAAATGTCCCTGTGACTTTGCCGACCCCTGCTTCCTGTAGGGACACATCCTGAGACCCATGTCAGCTCCCTGATGCTAGCATAGCTCTGGCTGTACAGGCTCAGATTGATTTTGCTTCCTCAGACCATCCTGAGCTCTTGGGCCCCATCAAGACATCTGCCTTATTTCTCCTTATGTCATAGCCCCATGTCTCTTTTCACTAGTGAGAAACTATTTCACAAAGAGAGGTATCATAGTTCTTCTGAGGACAAGCTTTGCGGCCATTGGGTTTATATTCTGACTGGGGAAGCAACTCACTTTGGTGCCTCAGTTGCCTTATCTATAAAATAATTGTAATAATACATACATAATCAATACATATTGATGATGGAAATAAATCAATAGGGCAATGCCTGCATATGGGAAAACCTTATTACTTATTAGCTGCTTTTATTATTGATATTATCTTATTACCTGTGGGCTCTCCAAAGATTATTAATGTTAATCCAAAAAGTTTGCTCTCCTGAATGAGTTTTGTATATTATGATTAGCTAATGAAGGGGATATTTTAATACATCTTATATTTTAATCATCTTTGTTTAAGTTTTCTACATTATGGATGGATAGGAGGATCTTGTTGTCAGATATCTATTGAAGACTCTCTTCAAAGTTGTGTTGTGGATGATATTTAACAACTCAGTGGCAGTAAATAGTATTATACAAGCCATTTACTTAGGTCCTATTGTTTTCAATACTTTCATGACTGCTATTGCTGCTAGTATTAGTGGTTATCATTTATTGAGTGTTCGTTCTGTCCTGAGTAGATTACCTCTAATAGCTTCCCAGTCTTCCCACGACCTATGAGTTAATATTCTGACTTCTTTGTTCAGACTCCAGAAAATTTAGTAGTGGATTCTTCATGATAGTCAGTGGTAGAGCCTGGATTAAATTCTGTAGTTTGTTCTTCAAGTTCCTGCTCTGAACACTACATTATTTCATGGAAAATCCAAAAATAATGGAGCGCATTTCTCTTCTAAACAAACAATAAATGTCAGCACAATGATGCTACGACAGAATTTTACGTATATGAAAATCTTTGCTTCCTAAAAATCTGGGTAGTAAAAATTGATGTGTTCACTATCCTTTCTGACATGATAAACTAATCTAGTTTCAGTGAAAATGAACATTGAGCTACAAAGGAGTAAACACTGCTTGATACTGTGATGAACATTTCCTGCTAGAGTGAATTATTGACAATTATCTTAAGAAAGTGTGTACACTCAAATAAAATTAGCTAACAAAACATCTGGTAGGATAAAAATCTCTTTGAAATCTGAAAGTACTTTAAGTATTGAAGTGGTTTGCAGTGTCCTAAAGAACTGACCCTTCAGTGATTTCTAAAAAATATCTAGGAAGAAGAAATTTCTAGAACTGATTTCTGGATAAAAGTGTATGTGTGTGTGTGTGTGTGTGTGCGTGTGTGTGTGTGCGTGTGTGTGTGTGCGTGTGTGTGTGTGTTTAATTAAAATATACCTGGAAATTTACTGGTAGATTTAGTCAACTTTTAAATTCTAACTGTAAGATGGTTTCTTTCTCCTTTTCCTTCCTACTTGGAAACAAACAAAGCATTAGTTTATGTAAGAAGCCCAAACCAAAGGAGTTAGAGTCTCTATTATGCACATGAAGAAGAGACTGGAAAGTGTAATGTACCACCCGGCAGTCTGAGGACTGAGAGGCCGCAGCAACTGCAGACATTTGTTGCTCTTGCTGAGGAGGTATCTTTGTAGTCTCTGGAGGAAGCTCAGGATGCTGTTTGTGGCTTTCAGGATCTTTTCCTGAAAGGGGAGCTATTTGAATGGAAAGAGATGCTGTGTGTATCTCGGGCTCTGGTTTAGGGGGTGGTGAGGAAGGCCTTTTGAGAAATAATGGTACTTCAGTAGGTTTGGAGAACTGTGGAGAACTCATGGGGCTGCTACTTTCTAGATCCTGGTTCTGAGTTAGTTTCATGGTAGAAATTCTCCGAGTATGAGAATCTTGTGTGTAGTCCTCTTGTAGCAATGGGGTACTGTCAGCGAAGGGAGCAGAACCTATTCTGGGAGCTGTTGGGAGAGGATTAGTGATTTTTTGTGTATATGACATAGTTGTGTTGGATTCTTCAGAATATACGATTGTCTGGCTAGAATTGTCACTAGAATGCATAGTTGTGTGAAGAGGCTCTTTGTTAGTAAAGTATTCTGTACAGGAAGGGGTTTGTGGGTTAGTTATCAATGAGTCTAAAATGTCAGGCTTTCTGTGATTGGTTATCAAGAAGCTACAAGAGCTCTCTTTTCTGGCTGGTGGAAGGGGTGCCTAGATGGCCAAAAGCATCCGGAAAAAGAAATAAGATTGAAGAAAAAAGAGAGAAAGTCACAGTTAGTCATGAAAGAAACCTGCCCTTAAAGGTAGAACAATCTCTCTTTTCTCACTATGCTTTACGTTCTCTTGGCTAGATTAAATTATCATTTTCATTCCTATAAAAATTCCTATTTTAGCCAGGAGCAAGGGTGCACATCTATAATCTAGTGGTTTGGGAGGCTGAGGCAGGAGGATCACAAGTTCAAAGGCAGCCTCAGCAACTTAGCGAGGCTCTAAGCAACTTAGCAAGATCCTATTTCAAAAGAAAAATATAAAACAGGCTGGAGAATGTATCTCATTGGTTAAGTGCCCCTGGTTTTAATCCCTGATTTAAAAAAAATAATATTATAAAGTTGCCTCCATCCACATTCTGGGAAATTATGTTAAAAATGAACATATGTTCTCTTGGCATATTTTTAGAYCTCAAGGTCTATGGTTAATTAGTCACATAGTTTTATAATATTTTTCATGCTTGTGGCACAATTTTACTCAAATCTTCAACACAGAGTCCCTTTAGTTTTCAGAGTGAATAGTTGCATAACTCGTATTTATTGAACATATTGTTAACTTTATGACTTTGAAATCCAAAACATCAGCTGCCAGTTTCTTAAGAATTAGAATGTATCCTAAACATTATGTTAGAAGATGGCTTACTTTTATGAGCTTAATCAGAAAAAAACAAAACAAAACAAAAAAACCCCTAAAAAATATGAAACACTTGTTTTGAACATAAAATTTGTTCTCCTTGTAAATAGAAGTCTGGCAAGCAAAGCAAATTCAAAAGCAAATGTATATTAAAAAGAAAAGACTAAGAAAGARGTTGCTAAAAAGAGATTCTAAAGCTTTAATAACCATGCTTTAAAGTAACACAGTAAAGAAGAGTGTGCAGGATTACCTGAGTTGGTGATTTCTTTTCTTGCAGGTTTGGTCGAACACTTCTAAAACCTTTTGCTGCAAGAGAGGAATATGTAGCATCTCCGTTCAGTGTCTCTTGATTTCGATCATTGTAAGATCTCCATGCTTTTATTAAGGGAAAACAAATTGGATACAAAAATATCTGGGTTCACATAAACATTTATTTTTTCAGAAAATTTATTTTTATTTCTAAAATGGAAATATTCTTACTAGAATTTTCATTTAAAATGCATAGCAATGTATGAAATTTAAGTTTAACATGAGATCAACAATGTGGCTATGGATATGTATAAAAAATCCTCATAATAAATGTAATAGTTTTCAGAATATCTTTTCTGTACCTGAGTCTGGTGAATGAGAATCACGCCCTGAAAGAAAAAAAAATATTGAAATTAATGCAAGGGTACAATAATTGAACAATCCAGTGAAAATAGTTGGTGAAGAACTATGTGCATAGTTTTTGCAGACATTATCTCAGTTCTAAAACTCTGGGTACTTTAAATATAATGAGAGGTTTGTGCATTAATTTTAACTTCAATGGAAATGTCATTTACTAAATAACCATAATATATAATTAACACATATATCAAACACTAATTTTTCTCCTCAATAATGCTGCAGCCATATAATTTTAAGATTATTGTTACCCATGAATTTCTTACATGAATTTCTGAATATTGAATTAAAGGATCTAAAAGGATCTGGTTCTTAAGTAATGGATGTTTTTCATAGCATTAAATCAAATGAGCAGACCCATAACTGGTAAAAGCCCTGTTGTTACTGACTTTATTTAACTTCTGTGCTAGAGATGAATTTTTTTAATAGTTTGCATTGTTTCTATCAGATCATGAGATACTTTCAAATATTCTGTTACTTTTGAATTTTCTTCCTATTGYTATTTAAAAATCATTTAAATTTAAAATATGAAAGAGCTGTTAAAATGCATTCCATTGTCCTTTAACTCACGAATCTTGGAAAATAAATTTCAGTAGCTTAAATCACTCTTGGTAATGCAGTTGGAAATTGACTCAATCCCATATTTATTATTGATTTTATTGGAATTATGCATTCAAGAATCTTCTGTATGTACATTTGGGGTAATCAAATGTGTCCAATGTGCACATTTAAAGTTATCAATTTGTCTGTGTGGTTCTATTATACAACATGGTTAATTGCACTTAGATGTATAAAACCTTGAACTTGGAAAGACTCCTACGGGCATTTAACTGTCCAATTCCTTCTACTTGTTACCTGGGACCATTATTAAATTACTATTATTTCAGTGACTTTTTTTTCTTCTCATGTATAGGGTATAATTATTTTGAACTCTGAACACTAAATTTGGAATGGTAGAAGCATAAATAGTTAGGAAACCCTATTTAATTTTATATATTCTCGTTCTCTCCTTTAGGCAAGGCCTTTCAGACAGATTTTTTTTTCCAAATCAAAGGAAGAAAAATAAATATGAATCAGCACAGAGTAACTTAGAATGACTCCAGCCCGGGTGAGTTAGAGAAGACTAACAAATTCCCATTCTTTATAAAACTGAAAAATAGTATGGGATTTTAGCTCTAATGAATGAAAAACTGGAGTCATAAAATGAATACCAAACAGTAAAAATAACTTTAAAGATTGATGCATGAAATGTACTGGATTCTATTTCCAGAATTTGATGGAAGGTGAAGATTGAAATTTGTCATTTAATTCAGTTAAATGATGTCGAGGACTCTATAAAGAAAACAAACATAGTTTAGTGATACAGAGCAATCTCTGGAATTTTGTTGGGGACATTTAGGAAGAGAGATTTAGTAATGACTAGGGTGTCACACACTGTGGACAAAGAACAAATTTGGGGACTTAAGGAAAAAACAATGAATTAGTAATGATCGTTATTTATATTATAATTATTTGCTTGCAAATAGGGAGTTTATTTTTCTCTTGGTTTGATAAAATGAAAAAAGAGGGTATGTAGTATGTGCTGAGGAGTGAGGTCATAGGAGCCAGATATGTGGAGGTGCCCGTGGTTAGACGGGAGGGCATACTAAGCTGGTCTGAAGGGTGTGATGTTTTTATGTGAGGTAAATGTCTCCTATCATTGACAGTTTGTAGGGGGCAAACCCTGTTTCGTCACATTGCAGATCACACTGGAGATTACAGGACTCTAAGAAACCATACATGGGAAAATCAGAGGTCAGTCTTTCTAGGCCCAACTCTGGACCAGGGTGTGCTAAAGAAACATGAGATATTAATAATGGTGCTCTCTGCTGAAAGGCCTTGCCTAAGAGGGGACAAAACTGTGTAGAATTAAGAGAAAGGAGAAACGAGAAAAATAGCCATGGATTAAAATTTCAGGATGAAGCAATATTTTTATCTAAGTTTATGTTGACGATTTAAAGTCTACTTTTAAGAGGGTGGTTTTTAAGGATACTGACATGTACAACATTTCAGTTTCTTTAAAGTAAGCCCAATTCTAGATATTAAAAATMCCCAGCTCTGATTTGTGACTTTATTGTAGACTACAGAAGTCCTAAAAGAGAAGTTCCTTCCCACATGGACACCATTCACTCTAGCTCAACTTTTATATTATCACTGCCAGAGAAACTTGGGAAAGGGAGGACCTGCATATTTTGGAGCAGGTAATAGAAAGTTTCCCAGGTCTGTGTCAAGAGTAAAGAGAATATGGATTCTAAAAATTAAGAAAGTTGAGCAGGTAAATGGCATGGCAGATACACAGGATGAATAGTTTTGCCCCAGATCTTGAACATCACTGATGATCATTCACTTGTGAAGAATCAGAATTAAGATTCTAACAATCAGAACCCTGAGTTTCTAGCTTTCTTTAGTGGACAGCATTGTTTCCCTGAAATGTTAAGAATGACAAAATGAGATTTTGCATCTGAAAATAAACAGGGTCTTTGAGGGTTGAGACTTGTCAAAGTTCCTCACTGGCACAATGGGCTTGTTCTGTGTCCAGGCCTTAGTGGCCGAATATCTGTCAGAGATATTCTTTAATATATTCCTGGTCTGTTATCAGGGATTGGCCCTCAAAGGACCTTCTCAACTTTATGATTCTAACATCAGAGTTTTCATGTGATTGTGTTGGTTGTGCCTATCTGTCACATAACAATCTTTATGTTCAGGTTTTATTAAAATTCCTTTTAACTGATGTACTATATTCACTCTATCACCTATATTTTTCTGGAAAGTTCTGAGGACTTGAATCCTTATAATGCATTTCTTTAGAGGGCTCTAGTGCTTTGTACGAATTAAAGTCGACCTTAAATTCATGTCAATTAGTTGCGTGACTCTAAGTACTATAATAAGTCTTTGCATTTATTTTCTTTAGTTATCCTCATTTAATTCTGACAAGGCCTTGTGGATTTGGGAAATGATGTTCTCAGAGAGGCAGGAAAGTGACAATTATATTCTATTTTTTTAAGGAAGAAAACTTGAGGTACAAATTTTTTTTAAGGGCATAAAACACACCGGTGATATTGGCAAGACTATCTCTTGGCAGAGTGGTCCTGTCACGAGTGGCATCCTTTACCAATGTCATCTCAGACTGCCAAAGGTTTTTGGTTAAGTGAAATGTACTTTGGATGTTTCTCTTTAATCATCATTTTGCATCTAGCCTAGGTTTGAAACATCGGTGTGAGAGATGGTGCATTATCCTATGAGTCCTCACTTCTGATGAGAGGAGGAGGAGACACACCGATGTAGGGGATGAACAGTTGATGACACCTTCGGAGCTTCTGATCTGGAAGGGGCTTGGGGGAGGGGTGGAATCTTGTGTTTGTTTATGGAAAGGTTGTTGAGTTTCAAGAATATTAAATGCAATGAATACTTATTAATTCTCTTTTGATTCACATAAAGACGGTCAAATATATTCTTATGAAAGCTCCCTCAAAATGTGATTGGACACAACAGATGCTTATTTCTTTCTTCAAAATGTATTTAAAACTTCCTTAAACCAGTTAAGATTACTGTATGTGTCTGTTTTAAAAATTGCATCCAAAATTCAGGGGACTTTATTCTGTAGAAATCTTACTTACAGTGAGATAAAATATAAAATAGCTCAGAGTCAGTACATAGTCTTATCATTGAAGATTGTTTCATATTCCTGAAGTGTTAAAATTTTTCTCCTAATTGGATTGTGAAGCATTGAATCTTTTTCTAACAAGTTGACTGATAGGAAATTGTTCATGTTTGACTTTTGACACTCCAAAATGGCAATCTCTATTCAATCTAATACTGTCTTTTGATGGTYACTTTTATAAATAACAGTAAATTGGCATTGATGGAATAGTGTATCATGCCTCAGGAGTACATCAGTGGTCCACACCTGAGATTATAAAACTTGATAAATGATAGTGATGGTACAGGCATTCCAATTACATAATGGCTCTGGCTTGTATTTTATTTATTTCCCTACCTCCTTTCATTCTTATTTCCTTGACCTATCTAATGTAAATGCCTATCGGTTTGTAACACCTTGTCATGTTTATAAACACATGAATAAAATATGTACGAATATATCTAGAGAGATTTTTGAAACCAAAAATGAGGTCATACAACATACATTGCAATACAACCTGAAGTCTTTTAATCTTAACATATTATGAAACTTCCTGGCCTGATATTCGAATTTGGACATTGAAATCCATTTGTGAATTGGAGGTGGTAAATGGACATGGAATTCTCAATATGAAAGTTTGTTTTTTCTTCAACAAAACTGGGTAGTTTAGGACCTGGTGGCTTTAAAGCTAAGGACACCTGTAGTATTTAATCAACTTCTAAATGTACGTGAGTAAAAGATTGTGATATGCATAGTAAGAATTAAATTTATTTAAGAACTTTTTACCCCTTTCCCAATTTTGCTCCAAAACCAGAAACCGCAACTAACAAGCCAACAATGAAACCAACCAACCAGCCATCAGAAGGCTTGGCTATGTTTTGGAGTCTAGGAATAGGGTTTTTTTTTCTGGGTTCACTGATCTTTTATAACTGCAGCCCCCTCCTGAGGGAGACTGTGCCTGAGGGCTTAGGAAAGTCATTGTTATAAAGAGACTACCTGAGTGAATGCCAGAGTGTCACACCCTCAATAACTTTCTAGGGTGTAATTTTATCTGTAGATACACATTAATCTTAACTGGTCAAGATTTTCATATATTTAAAAATACGTATTAGATGGGTCTTTGCTGATTAATGAAAGGGTAAGGCCTTTCTCTAAAAACTAATATTCTATCATTCTGCTTATAATCTTTGGTGAAGAAGCAAATTAATGAAGATTGGCTTTCCAGAATTTCTTCCTGACCCCTGTATCACCAAAGAAACATATGAGTTATCATAATGAGATATGATGTTACTT